TGTATGTATGTATGTATGTATGTATACGTGTGTATATGTGTGTATGTGTGTGTGTATGTATATATATGTATGCTGTGATAGTACCAACTGAATTACTGTAATCTGTTTTTGTAGGACTATCCCTGAAGTCCTATATATAGTGGCTGATCATATCCTCTAGGAGTGTAGGAGCTTTACTGGCTGACAATTTATTCCTGGGCTAAATTTTAGCTATTCGTTTGATATTTCTTCCTTGAGTTTGTGATTCTATCCTATGATGTTTAGTGACAAAACTTTTTATAGGTATCATAACTATCTGGAAAGTTGTAGATTTTTAGAAAAATTATTGGTCTGTAGCTGAAGTTGGAAGAGTAACTTTTTAAATTTTTTGTGCATTATTTTATAGTTTACCTTTATTTTTTTAAGAAAAATAGTTTAATCGATTTTTTTCTTATTTTGCTGTTATCTGCTCTGAGAAGTGAAAAACTGATATGAAAGTCAAACCTTAACTAAATAAATATTTAAATAATGTTTTATTAGGCTTTCAGAGCGTGCATGGGCAATTTGTTGGCAATCCCAGTTTCTATATTTCTGTATGAAAGACTTTCATTAATTTATCAGATTAAAGATATTTTAAACAAAGAATTAATTGTATTCTGTCTTCTTTTCTTAGGATTATTATCAAAGATCTCTAAACTGAAAGCAGAAAGGTGTCTGTAAGTACCACTGATGAGCAAAAAATTGTTCTTGATTAGATGGAAATACTTCTGCTAATTTTTGAATGTGCTAAGCCAATGTAAGTCTGAATGTATGATTATATACAGATATGCATAAACAGTATAAACATTCATGTATGTCTTTCCACTAAAACATTTGTTTTGATACATACTTAAGGCCAATTCATGCATACTGTTGAAAACTGTCCCAATCCCTCCTGTCATCTCTCCCTTTTCCTGTTACTGTGGAAATCCTCCTGCAGTTTTCTTTACCCTCCATAACCTCCCTGGCCATTTCCAAGTGTGGGCTTTGTAGCAACTTTACACGAATGCCTCTGCAGTCACCCACCCTGTTACTACTGGTATTTTGAAGGGCCCTGAAGATGAGGTTCTTTACCCAGGCCCTTGGTGAGGACGAGTCATGTCCTTTTCTTCCTTTTCCTTGTTCCCATCTGTGTTTTCTGTGCTAACTGTTCTGTGTTGTTTTTGTGTTTTTGTATTGTTTCTTGTTTTTAAATATTTTTAACAATTTGTAAATGACCAAGTTGCTGGAAGTTGGGTGGCAAATACATTTAATAGATGATGATGATGATGATGATGATGATGGTGATGATGGGTCAAACATAATAATAATACTTTTAACACCATCAAATGGCAAGATCTGCCTATTCCAGGTCCTTGGGAAGGACTCGATAGGTGGAAAAAAATGCCAAATCCAGTAGTTGTTGTTTTTGTTGTTGTTATTAGTCCATATAATACTCCTGTTTCCTGGTCAGTAATTATTTTAATCTAGCCCATATGTTATGAAATTCTAAATGGTGGGATTGTCTGGTAACATTGGTTATATATAGTAGTATGATACATTCTTGTTTGTTTCTATATACATATGAAAAAGCTTCCATCTCGGATTTGTTCAGGGATGGTAAGGGACACACATTATTAATGACTTTCTGTTGGGACTTAATATTAAACAAAATAAGCTTAATTACTGTTTGTTGGAACCAGCCTACAAATACTGCATTGTAGATACAGTTGCCTTTTAAATGAATTCTTGTCTCAATTAGCTTTTCTTGAATACCTGAATATTTCTGAGCTGATAACCAGCCAAACAATGAGCTCCTTATACTGTACCCTAGTTCAGCTCTGAACCTAATGTTCTTGTAAATACAAGGTCATAAGATTATTTTCATAGCCAAAGAGCCAGTATCTATAAGGATTTAATAAACTATGTTCTCTCATTTGTCAGTCTTTTGCTCTATGTGTAGAATGCAGGTACACTTTTAGCTAACTGATCCTAATGTGTCCTAAGTAGTAAATCTGTGTCTAGTAAGATACTGTGTGCTTCCTAGTAAATGAGTTTAAGATTGTAGCCATACAGCCTAATCAGTATGTTTACTGAAACATAAGCCCCAGTGAATTCAGTAGGAACAACAACAACAACACTTTCACTGTTATTTAACTTCTGACGAAAGTATATTATTCACTTTGTAATGTTGATATGTGCAAAATCCTTTTATAATTGTAGTTCAGATAATAATTTATATACCAAGTCAGACACAGCCTGTCAGTTACATTAAGGTCTACAAATGTTTGGAAACCTCCCTATTTTTATTCATCCTCAAATTAAAATGTGAACTTTACCGAAGAGCAAAAATGGAAGGCTCACAGAGTGATGGGCACTTATATATAGTTGGTGGGCTGTATTCATTTGAAATGGATCATTGAACTTTGTATTTCCAGTGCACTATTAGATGGCCACTTTGGTTGGTGGCCCAGTTACTATATATCAGATTGAAATATGTAAATTTTGCAACAAATACCTTTATAACTATCACCTTCTTAATTCTTGCAAGTTGTTGTTACTATTATTATTGGACTTTATCCTGCCTTTTTTACATATAACTCAAAGTGACAAACATACCTAATACTCCTGACTCCTATTTTCCCCCCAACAACAGCCCTGTGACATGGGTTGGGCTGAGAGAGTGATTGGCCCAAAGTCACCCAGCCAGCTTTCATGCCCAAGGGAGGCCTAGAACTCACAGTCTCCTGATTTCTAGGCCAGTGCCATAACCACTACACCAAATTAAGTTGGAAATTAAACCCTATTTAATGTATGCGGAAAGTATGGGGCTGAAATTTATATACTGGGAGCAACTCACTTTGAAAGCAATGGGAATCTTTCAAGTACGTAGCTAGGATACTACTGACTGCACATGCCAAGACAGCTGAGATCAGCTTACGAAGCAGCAGTATGATCCTGGAAAAAGATGCAGCAGCTTTATTGATTCAATGAAAGATGTTTCATACTAATGTGTACTGTTTTTCAATCTGGAGTATGCCCTGAAACTGATACTGCATCAGCTGTTGCTACTGGCTTTTAATGTCACTTCAATATTTTTTTCTTTTTTCTTGCAGTTTTTGTTAGTAAAATTCTTTTTTGCATATGTTAATTTATATTAGATATTGTTATAGGTTTTGAGTTACTTGAAAGGAGAGCTGCCAAGAGATATGCAGCATATTCAGTTGTTTTCTTGTTAGAAACAAACCACCATTCCAGTCTGTTTCCACTGAGCCAATACAGTATAATGCTTAAATATATACTTCTACTCTTGTATTTAGTTTGTCCCAGACCACATTGATTCTGTCTTTCCAATGTGTTCCCCCTATTCTATATAACTCATCTTATTTTCTCTATCTAGTCCATAAGCATAGAACACTGATTCATCAAGGCTGGAATCCTGTGCATGCTTTCCTTGATAGACAGACATAATAGAGAAAAAGTATTTTTGCTATCATTTCATTTCTCTACAGCATTAAGAATTCCCTTTTCATGTTGTTTACAGTAGAGACCCAGTGCAGCCACATTTATGTCACTTAGTTGTAATGTGTTATAGATGAAACTTGTTATTTATTACCATTTAAAGCCATCAATTCTGTAAGACACAGATTTGAAGTCATAGCTGTTTGTTAACTTGAAGTAATGGGATTTCTTTTTAATGAAAATACACCTAACCCCATATAATCTCTGTTTATAAATGAATTTTCCTTTATGTGTAGGGATGCAGCAAGGCTTGATGAGTTCTATACAAAAAACCAGCAGCTTAGAGAACAACAAAAATCATTGCATGATACTATTACAGTTTTGGAAGATCGGTAAGTAAGAATTATTCCTTTTTGCTTACAGAACTTGGCTACTTTTTTCTTTAGTAAAGTTGACTGAATTGTCAAGGAATGGTCTTAAATTAGTTACAGATTTAATTCAATAAACAATCAACATTTATCTAGTAGTACTTTTAAATTATCTTTAATATATTTAATGTATAACCAAAAAAAAGTGATAAATCACAACTCAGAACTTACAGGAAAGGAAGAATGGGAGGGATTTCATGCTGTACCTATTGGCATATAATACTTTCCTGAGTAGATTAGTCTCTTCGTATTTTTTCTCACTTCTTTGTAAGATAATTCTTTGATATTTTATAATCTACTCCTTTGTTTCTCTTATGAAACAAAGTTCTCTGGCTCTATGAAATTGCAAGCACTTTTCCACACTTCCTCATTTTATCGTATCCTTGTAGAAAAACAATCTGTCCAGAAAGAAATTTTTAAAACAGGCATATCTTGCTTGCCTTGTCTTTCTGCATTTCTGAAGAAATTAAGGGAAAGAAGGGAGGAATAAAATAATACTTCCACCAAACGTTAGATTTTAGTGAAACCTCCCAAATCTCTGTTCCTAATACTTATCCTGTGTGGTGCAAAAATACCACACCTGTTATGACTTTCTATAAGAAATACAGAACTCAGTACTAGATAGCTTAATTAATCATAGAGATGTATCCAGAAAATTTGAGTTTTAGGCCCAACACATTTGTGCGTATTTTTGTCAAAGGTATGTAAATAAATTACATTGCATGGTGAATGTGAATGTATCTTTTGGAAAAATTTCCTGTTCTGCAATGTTAAGTAGGTTTAAAGTTGATTGAACAGCACGGATTTTGATATTAAAACCACATTTTTGCTTCTGTTTGTATATGCTTATTACATATAAGAAAAAAAAATAAAGATTAACCAATAGTTTAAAATTCAAGATATCGTTAATGTTCTAAATGTTCGAGCTGTGCTTTTAAAAGTGCATATTAAATTCCATTGGACATAATGGGATTTTTAAACAAAAGTCAGAGGATTATTCTGCATTTGCTGCTGTAACTGGATGCATTAAGTCCAAATATGAGTGAAGTGCTACAGACCTCTATCCTGAACCCTGTGCTGTTCAACATTAACGACCTGGATGAAGAGGTTGAAGGGATGGTGATGATGCAGAACTAGGATAACTGGCTAAAGCTTTGGTAAAGAAAGAGAAGTTTCAAAAAGATATATTTTTACTTAAACAGTGGTCTGAAATGAACAGTATGAAATTTAAATTTAACATGGGAGGGGGAAGGATGAAAGGCATAGGATGAGAGAGACCTGGTTTAGCAGTAGAACATGTGAAAAAATATGGGTGCTCTAATAGATCATACACTGAACATAAGTCAACATTGATGGAGCTGCTAGAAAGGCAAATGCTATGCTGAGATGTATTAACAGGAATATAGAGTTCAAATCGTAGGAAGTAAGTGTCCTACTCTACTGTGCCTTGTTCAGGCTCCACTTGGAATATTATACCCAGTTCTGGGCCTCACAGGCTAAAAATGACATTTACAAACTAGCGCAAGTTCAGATGAAGGTCACTGAGATGGCAAGAGAACTGAAAACCACGTCCTATGAAGAACAGTTAGGGGAACTGGATGTGTTTAGCCTGCAGAAGAAAAGACTGAAGTGAGATGTGATAGCAGTTTTCAGAAATCTAAAAGGTTGTCATATAGAGGAGAGGGTGGATTTGGTCTTTGTCATCTTTAGAAGGCAGGACAGAAATGGCTTGAAATGGGACAGAAATAGATTCAAGTTAAATATTAGGAGGAACTTCCTGATGGTAAGGGTAGTCAATCAATGGAACAGACTACCTCATGAAGTGGTACATTCATTTGCAGTGGAGGTAAAAAATGCTTTAGCACATTATATACTGGGGGTTGGACTAGATGACCTCTGACCTCCCTATTAACTCTATGAGTCTACGATACTATGTTGCTTTTTAATATTTTCTGGTACATTTTTTAATTTCTTTCCCCCAAATATATATTAGTACACTTTGACTTTATGTATTTATTTTCTGTGATGGCTTTCATGAGCTAACAGCGTGACCATATTTAGGTAATTATGTCAGGTTAATAAGCTAAAATATGAATGAGACTTTTGCTTGCACAGGCAATCGCTTTGCCCTTTCCTTTGAGAATAAACCAGAAATCTATAGTAACAAGCTTCTGAATGTTAGAATGTTAACCCATGTTTTGAAACTGTAGAGGCTTCCTGACTTGATCACTGGCAGCACTTGTATGACACATTAAGTCATACTAAAGTTAAGCTTAGTGTGTCATTTGAATCCCCTCTGTGCTTAAGCTGGTGGTTAACACAAAAATTCTAAAACACAATCTGGAATCCTGCTTCACTTAGTCCTTGCTCTGTATGAACCCAGAGAGAGAAGTTAAACGATTAAAAGCTTTTATTTTTTAAACATAAACGGTAGTAGCAGGCACAACGAGAATTCCTCCTGCCACAGCAAAGTAGCCTCAGCATGGGTCTACTGAGCACCCTATATGTTTTGGTATGTAGAGTTTTTAAATATTAGTTCCCTGATTTGGCCACTATTCTAGTGGTAATGGACTGACTGGCCAGCTACCATGTAGAGAGGAAGAGTCAGGCAAACAGTAATTTGGTTATTCATATGCTAGGCTACCCAGAGTTCACCAAAATAATGGGCATGCATGTTATATGAACTCACTTTTTGCTTTCATAAAAGAAGCACAGCAACTTTGTGCACAGGAAAAAGGCTTATAGGATTTTTCTAAAGTTTTTCTGTTAGCATAAATGGCCTCTTGCTGTATTATTGGATCAGGAATTTCCATTGTTGTAAACTTGCCAGTAGTTCCTTTTAAATATTGCTTATCACTAATGTTTGTTAGACTCTGATTGGGCATGACCAAAAATAGGTCCTTTTACATCACATGGGTCATTTGACCTTTCAGATTTCCAGTCTCACTATAGGCCTATAGTCTGATTTTTTATTAAAACTTTTAAAGTATTCAGACAACAAACAAATATAATTTAACATTTTTGCTTTGCTTTTTATACTTAAGGTATTTGTCTTGCTGCAGAATAACATTAGAACTGAGCTGTGGAAGATAACATTTATATTGAAGGTTTATGTTTGAATATGCCATATTGGATGAAATAATGGCTGAGTTTGTGAAGATTTTTTTTTCAATAATATCCAGCTATGAATTCTTCGGAGGATATTCAAGATCTGTAAAATAAGAACATATGTGAGAAGAAATGTTTTTCTCTCACCAAATAGTATTTTCTTCACTCAGTGATCAGAAATTGGAATTAGCCCAGAAAGATGCTTCAATATTTATAAGTATTTCAGTTACTACTTACAAAGCAATTATTGTATGATTACTTGCAAGCAAATCCTGCAATGTTCAATAAGCCTTAATTTCTTGTAAGTATGCTTATGATTTCAGCCTTAATATTTGTATATCCCATTAGCTAAGTCTTTATAATTTATCATAAGCTCATCTTTAGAGTGCTCTGACTTATATAGTACTTTTAAAATTTATATTGAACCGACAACAGATGGAGAAAATACACCTTCTAATTACATAGGTTAAGGGCAGGATTATGTGATCGTTGTGCAGTAACCGAAGAGCATATGAAGAAGAAACAACAGGAATTTGAAAATATCCGGCAGCAGAACCTTAAGTTAATCACCGAACTGAGTGAGTTTTATCATACTTTTGTCATTACACCATTGTTTTTGCACTTTTGGATTTGTGTTGGTATTATCCTTTACCCAGTATTAAGCCCAGTTGAATTTAATTTGGCATACTTTTGTAGAGATACAGTGGGGCAAAAAAGTATTTAGTCAGCCACCAATTGTGCAAGTTCTCCCACTTAAAAAGATGAGAGAGGCCTGTAATTTTCATCATAGGTATACCTCAACT